AAAAAAACAAAACATTAATTTCTCTTTATTTCTAATAAATTTTTAATAAGAATAACGTAAAATCAAGGGCCCAATGTAAAAAAAACCTGAAGTTCCCCTTAAAGTCCCTGGTTCATGTTCCCGTTCCTGGGGGCCAGTGGACTGAGAGGGTTTACTAGTCAGGTCCCGGCTCTTCCCTGCGGAGCCCTCAGGGTTTTGGATGGGATCAAGATGGAGACCAGCTAACGCTGCAGCTCGTTTGGCAGACCATCGGCTGGATCCTGCCTTCCTAAGTGAGGATGGACTGAACTGTTAAACCAGGTAAGTGACTCACTGATAATCAACTCCTGTCAGATGATCATGGTCACTTACTTGTGTTTCTCCCTCCAGAGGTTCAGTGATTGGGCGGTGCCCCGCCCCCCTCCTGCAGCCTCTGCAGTCAGCTTATCCTCAGCAGCCCAGGTTCTGCTCTGCTTTATTACTTTTCTGTCATTAAACGTTTTGAAATTCCCCACTTTCTGACTCGCCTGAATACTGGGTCCATCTGTCTCGGTCATAACACATATGTTTGCTCAGTATTTGCTCAACCTATTACAGAGTGTGTATATGAACTATGTAGTCTTATAGAACCTTCCAGAGTGTTAATAATCCCCCAGAATGTAGCTATTAAAAAGCGGGGGAGAGGACAGTCTTCGCATATTTACATCCCAAAATAGTCAAAAAGGTTACTCACATACAACTTAATTACTGTCTTTATTCATAAAACATTCACACTTTTGGTAATGTCAACCCATAAATATGCAAGTACAGCAACATTCTGTGTCAGGTTATACGTACTTCACACCGCCTTGGTGGTACCGCTTTCATTAAATCATAGATAATCTAAAATTTGAAATATTTCAGCGTTTAATCTTAAAATTGTCCTCTTGTCTTTTTCTGTAAGATCTTTGCATTTACTTGACGCTGTTTCTTCTGTAGTTAAGGTCTTAGGGATGGATTAGGATAGTTAGTTAAAGTCAACATATGTGTAGAATGTATGATATGATACACAGTCCTATGGGTCACGTTGAAACGATGAATGCAGGAGGAGGCGGCAATAGGCTCCACATAGCATACATAAAGGGTAGACCCTACATTCACTGCCTTCTCCTGTGGGTACTGACGGGACTTGGTGGTGCCATCTTGGGGAGGTCAACAGCTCCACTCAATGTAACGTGTTGAACGGGCACAGCATCAATTTTTATTAACTTTAACTCACTGAATATTGAACTAATTTTCACATTTTTTTGTTTTGTTTTTTTTTTTTTGCTGAAAAAAAACAAAAGGTTCATTGTATTAGAATATTCTTAGTTTTGTTAAATATGTATGTATATATTTTTATTACTATGTACAGAAACACGTTTGTAGAGGTATACACAATAATATATACACATGGAGCCCACACCCACACATATGTATAGTATATAATGTGTGTCTGTGGGGCTGACAACATGGCCGCTATGAAACCCCAGTCCAGTAGGTGGCGCCATATTCAAGCAATGGCTGATTTTCTACTGATCAGTAGAGGAAGTATGCAGCGGAGCTTGTTTTGAAGGTTGAAAACTGGACAGGTTAGCTAACAGAGTTATGATCCTCAGACCTCAAAGTTCTGTCAGCTTCATCTGAACTTCCATCCACATCTTCAGGTAGGTCACAGTTCACTGCGGATAGAAGCGGCTTTAACTGACTGAATTAAGTGTCTTCAAGAGAAATGAGCGACTGCAGCTCGTTGCTACAGGCTGCGGGGACTCAACATGTGAGGTTTGAGTCACTGAGGCTCGGTGTCCTGCGGAGCTCAGCAGCCCGGCGGCCTTTATTAGCAGGTGTTTCACATCATCTGGTAGCTCAGATCATCTGGCGTCATCNAATGACTGAGAATCTTCACCAGCTCAAAGCATTGTATTACTAAATAGGTTAGTGCCACAGGTCTGTAGTCCCTGATTCTGTTTATTCATGTATGATAGTGTATGGATAGAGAGGTACGATGGTGAGTGTTTCAACACAATGTGGAACAGTTGCCTCCTTCTGTGAGTATTCATAATCCTTGTCAGGACTCCTGGAAGTTGGCTCCATCAGGTACCGCTACCTTGTGGGGTTTACAGTTTTCAAAACCCTTCTGACATGATTTTTTTTTGTAGCACACACAGTTGATTGTAATCATAATTAGGCCAAGAAGATTGGGTAGGCAGGATGGGATCTATATACGTCTAAGGATGTGAAAAGGTATGTAGTTCAGCTGCGAGTGAGGCTTCAGCATTGCCTCAGCCTTTCTGTCTTTATAATTTGTCAGTTGTTGTAGACTCTACCGAACGTGTTTGAAGTCGCTGAGTGGATCACTATGTTTGTCTTGTAATCCCTTTTTGCTGCTCTAATAGCCCTCCTTAAATTCTCTCTGGCCTGATCGCCACGATCACCAGTTATAAGTTACGGGTTGTTTTGCTGTCATCCAAGGTGTACAGTTATTAAAATTCTGGTCTGTTTTTATCCACGGTCACATTGTCAATATTAAACTGCAGCGGTTCTAGAAACATTTTTCTCCAGATGAATGGTGACAAAGGGATTTTTTAGAAGTGGTGATATTAGTATGGTGCCAGTGGTGCCAGTGCCAGAACATGTTCATAGGGGGGGGGTCAGGCAGGGGCCAATGTACACTGAAGGTTTGCAGGAAGCTAATAGGCACCAAAATCATCATGTGTTTCAGCTGTACTGATTAAAATCAACCAGCAGGAAAATGAACGTCCACAACATGGAGATTTTCCCAATAAATCAATAAAGAGAGACCAGATTTTCATTAGTTTTTTAGTTCCTTGCTAATAAGCACATATTTAGACTA